GGAGGCTAAAGAACTGTGAGATAGCTCACACTAACTCAGCTTAGGGGCAACATTGCTCAAGAGTCTTCTCCAGCACCATAGTTCAAAAGAATCTATTCTTCGGCGCTCGGCCTTCCTTATAGTCCGACTCTCGCAGCCATACAGTACTACTGGGAATACCATTGCTTTGACCATGCAGACTTTTGTTGGCAGGGTGATGTCTCTACTTTTCATCATGCTGTTTAGGTTCGCCATCGCTTTCCACCGAAGGAGCAGGCGTCTTTCAATTTCATGGCTGCTGTCACATAGAGGGCTAGCCAGGGCTATTGAGGTCAGGGTGTAATAACTGTATCCCGTCAGGTCACAGCCAACTTATGGTCTCCCACCCAAGCCCTAACCAAGGCTGACCCTGCTTAGCTTCTGAGATCTGATAAGATCGGGCTCGCCCGGGCTGGTTTCCCCGTGTGTTACTTTAGTTCAAGATAGGCAGCCGTGTTTGTCTGTAGCAGGAGAAAAGAGCCAGAGTCCAGGAACACCTTAAAGACTCACAAAATATGTGGCAGGGGAGGAGCTTCCGTGAGTCACGGCTCACTCCTTCTAAACTTCCCTCCCCTGCCACACGTTTTGTGAGTCTTTAAGGTGCTCCTGGGAGCTGCGGTGGCTCAAGTGGTTAGGACGCTGAACTGCAGGCTGTGGAAGGTCGGTCGTTCAGCAGTTTGAGACCCGAGTGTGCCGCGTGACGGAGTGAGCTCCCGTCTCTAGTTCCAGCTCCTGCCAACCTAGCAGTTGGAAAACAAGAAATTGCAAGTAGATAAATAGGGACCCCTTCGGTGGGAAGGGAACAGCGTTCTGTGCGCCTCGGCGTCTAGTCATGCCGGCCACATGACCACGGAAAGGTCTTCGGACAGCGCTGGCTCTTCGGCTTTGAAACGGAGATGAGCACCGCGACCCTAGAGTCGGACTCGACTGGCTTTTGAGCAAGGGCAACCTTGACCTTTAAGAGGCTCCTGGACTCTGGCTCTTTTCTACTGCTACTTTATTTGTCTGGTGGAGTTATTCACAAAGTCACAACACACGTTTCCTTTATGATTGTGTAGTAAAAGAGCCGCTGCTCATTCCAGCCGTGAGCAATGGATGCGTGAAGGAGCTAAGAGTTGGAGTTGGGACTCCAAAAGTTAGTAGGACAGTCCACCTTGCAGATTGGGAATTATCACTGGTCCTTGTGCTTTACTAACCTTCAAAAGGACTCGTTCACGAGTCTGGGTGCCCCAGTTTGGGTGCCGCGTGCCAGTGCTCAGCGTCCTTAGAAAGGGCGTGTCGCCTTCCGTGCATTGCAGGAAGCCGGCTGCATGTCATGCAGACTCACACAGAGGTAGCAGTTGGTGCGTCCCTGGCCCTCACAGAGACAGCTTTCCAAGAGTGGCTTGAACGTTTAGCCCTACCTCGCTTCAAGGTAGGGCTGAGAGCCAGTTTGGTGTCGTGGTGAAGTGCGCGGACTCTAATATGGAGAACCGGGTTTGATTCCCCACTCCTCCACTTGCACCTGCTGGATGACCTTGGGCAAGCCCTAGTTCTGATAAGAGCTGTCCTTGAAAAAGAGCCGTTTCTGCCAGAGCTCTGTCAGCCCCACCTACCTCACAGGGTGTCTGTTGTGGGGAGGGGAAGGGAAAGGACTTTGTCAGCCGCTCTGAGACACCTTTGGGTAGTGAAGGGCGGGGTATGAATCCAATCTCTTCTTCTTCTTCTTTTTCCTCACAGGGTGTCTGTTGTGGGGAGGGGAAGGGAAAGGCGTTTGTGAGCCGCTCTGAGACTCCTTTGGGTAGTGAAGGGCGGGGTATAAATCCAGTCTCTTCTTCTTCTTTTACCTCACAGGGTGTCTGCTGTGGGGAGGGGAAGGGAAAGGAGTTTGTCAGCTGCTCTGAGACACCTTTGGGTAGTGAAGGTTGGGGTATAAATCCAACCTCCTCCTCCTCCTCCTCCTCCTCCTCCTCCTCCTCTTCTTCCTTCTTTCTTCTTCTTCTTCTTCTTCTTCTTCTTCTTCTTCTTCTTCTTCTTCTTCTTCTTCTTCTTCTTCTTCTTCTTCTTCTTCTTCTTTCTTCTTCTTCGATTGCTTCAGGGATTGTGGTGTAGAACAGTCATGCCGTAAACAGAGACAAGACAGTTCAAATCCACACTTAGACATAGAGCAACCCGAGGCCGGTCATTCATTCTCAGCCTCACCAAGCTGGGGGGATAAAATGGAAGAGGGAAAGACCAAATATGGGGCCCGGAGCCACTTGGCGGGATGAAAATGTGTGTGTGTGTGTAAATGTGCCGTCAGGTCAGATCGTTTCCAGCTTATGGGGACCCTATGAACTAATGACCTCCGGAATGTCCTGTTGTCAATGGCCTTGCTCAGGTCTTGTAAACTGAGGACCTTTGTGGCTTCCTGGGTGGAGGCCCTCCGTCTCACGTTGGGTCTTCTTCATTTCCTGCTGCCTTCAACTTTTCATAGCTGTCAAGCGTCCTTCGTGGCCCTGGAGTCGATCCGCCCGTGGCCGTGGCGCCGGCCCTGGGAGTTGGAGAGGGTTCGTAAAGGAGGAGGTTGCGGAGGGGCCTCAGATAGGCAGGGGACGTGGTTATGGTCACCCCGTAGGTCCCTCTGCCAACGTGCACCGAACACCTTTGGTCCCGTTTCTTTCTCTCTCTCTTTCTCTCCGTCTCGTTCCTTCACACTTTCCTCCTCCCCGGCCTGTCCGCTTCTCTCTCCTTTCATACCCCGCCCCGCTCCCAGTGCCGCCTATAATCCTCGCCTCCTCTATTTCCGGTCTGGCCCCCCCCCCCGATAAGCTTGAACGCCTTCTGGTCATCCTGGGCGTGGTTGTGGGTGTGCCAATGGTGGCCCTGCCGGCGCAGCGGCTTAGCTTCCCCCTCGTGTCCGCCCTCAGCGGCATCCGCTTCACCGCTTCCTGGGATAGAGTTCCAAGGTGCCCAACTGAGGGGCCGTGCTCTGCCGGCATGGCCGCATCTCCCTGGGTCAGCGATGGTTGTTTCTCCCAGGGCTTCCCATGGCGAGGCACTGCGCTGCGGCCCCGTCGGTCGTGGTGGTGACGTCGCTGCCTTGCTTCTCTGCTGGTCCACGGGTGAGTGGCATGGCCGGGGCGTCCCTGGGGGGTGGGGTCCTCGTCCCGAGGCCGCTGGACCGGGACAGTAGCATCCTTGTCTTCTCATAAGGTGACCAATGTATGAAAGCCTCAGTTTAGCTTCTAGGGAGAGTTCCGGCTTGATTTGATCTAGAACCCCCTGATTTGGCAGTCCACGGTATCCGCAAAACTCTCCTCCAACACCACGTTTCAAATGAATCGGCGTCCTTCCTTTCCACTTTCTTCATTGTCCAACTTTCACACTCGTACATAGTAAATGGGGACGGCTGTAGGAAATGTAACAATGGACAACCCTACCTTGTTATCAGTTTAATTCCACTCGAAAGCTTTTGGTTTTCGTTCTAAAAATCAACTTGGCAGCAGCTTTCTAGTTTAGGCTGAAGCGCTGGTGTACACACATTGGGACTTGGGTGGATCATGGAAGTGTATCTGATCACTCAAGGGCATGTTGTAGGGCTGCATCCGATCCTTCCAGAAGGATGCGGGTGTTGAAGTGTTGCGTTACAGTGTGAGAAAGCCGGCTCTTTTTGAGTACAAGTAAAACAAACAAACAAACAATGCCCTGTGTATAAAGAGCTACTGACGTCTTGTCTATGATGATAGTGACATTGCGTGTCGACTTACAGTGACCCCAGCAAGGGGCTTTCAAGGCAAGGGAGAAGCAGAGGTGGTTGGCCATTGCCTTCCTCTGCAGAGTTTTCCTTGGTGGTCTCCCGTCCAAGACTTATGGCAACCCCAGCAAGGGGCATTCGAGGCAAGTGAGAAATAGAAATGGTTTGCCATTGGTTTCCCCTGCAGAGCCTTCCTTGGTGGTCTCCCATCCAAGACTTACAGTGACCCCAGCAAGGGGCTTTGAAGGCAAGTGAGAAGCAGAGGTGGTTGGCCGTTGCCTTCCTCTGCAGAGTCTTCCTTGGTGGTCTCCCATCCAAGACTTATGGTGACCCCAGCAAGGGGCTTTCCAGGCAAGTGAGAAGCAGAGGTGGTTGGCCATTGCCTTCCTCTGCAGAGTCTTCTGGTGGTCTCCCGTCCAAGACTTATGCAACCCCAGCAAGGGGCTTTTGAGGCTAGTCAGAAGCAGAGGTGGTTTGCCATTGGTTTCCTCTGCAGAGCCTTCCTTGGTGGTCTCCCGTCGAAGACTTACGGTGACCCAGCAAGGGGCTTTCAAGGCAAGGGAGAAGCAGAGGTGGTTGGCCATTGCCTTCCTCTGCCGAATCTTTCTTGGTGGTCTCCCATCCAAGATTTACGGCGGCCCCAGCAAGGGGCTTTGAAGGCAAGTGAGAAGCAGAGGTGGTTGGCCATTGCCTTCCTCTGCCGAATCTTTCTTGGTGGTCTCCCATCCAAGATTTACGGCGGCCCCAGCAAGGGGCTTTGAAGGCAAGTGAGAAGCAGAGGTGGTTGGCCATTGCCTTCCTCTGCCGAATCTTTCTTGGTGGTCTCCCATCCAAGATTTACGGCGGCCCCAGCAAGGGGCTTTGAAGGCAAGTGAGAAGCAGAGGTGGTTGGCCATTGCCTTCCTCTGCAGAGCCTTCCTTGGAGGTCTCCCATCCAAGTACTAACCAGGACTGATGCTGCTTAGCTTCCCAGATTGGGCTACACTGTGGTGCCTCCCCTCCTGACAGTGCCATTGCTGTATCGGAACCCCGGCTCAAGTGGCGCAACTTATTCACGTAGTGGTGCCAATGGAGAAATTTTCAAAAAAAATGTGTGCGCGTGTGCATGCCGGGTGGGGTTCTTCTTTAAAAGGTTTAAATGAGTGGAAACCCTTCCAGCGAGAAGGAAGATTACAAGGGCCGCTTGTGAGCTGATTTCAAGTAGAAGTTGTGGTTCCGGTAGTGCTTAATCACAGAGGGGTGCTACATTGTCCGTTTCTCTTCACAGGCTCACCGGACCTTCGGGATACGTAACAGACGGACCTGGGAACTATAAATACAAAACGCAGTGCACATGGCTTATCGAAGGAATGTGAGTAGCAAACACCTCGATTTCTATGGGGCAGAATCGGGAGTTGTGTTATTTTGGCATACAGTTGATCATCTGTGCATTATTGTGGATTGTCTAGGTATGGATCTTGTGCATGTGAATAGTGTTAACATTCAGGTTAAAGCATTAAAGTTTCCTGGCCAGGAAGTTGAACTAGAGCCAGTTTGGTGTAGTGGTTAAGTGCGCAGACTCTAATCTGGAAGAACCGGGCTTGATTCCACACTCCTCCACTTGCAGCTGCTGGGTGACCTTGGGTCAGTCACAAGTTCTCTCCGAGCCGTTCTCTCAGGAGCAGTCCTCGAAAGAGCTCTCTCAGCCCCAACGACCTCACAGGGTGTCAGGGAGGGGAAGGGAAAGGAGATTGTAAGCCGCTTGGGGACTCCGAGTGATGGGCGGGGTGTAAATCCAATCTCTTCTTCCTTCTCTTCAACTACTGAAATGCCAAATTTATCACCACAATGTGGAGGGTAACGATGTCGTGAGCCAGTGTGGTATAGCGGTTGGCATGTTAAGAGCAGGACCGGGGAAGATGCAGTTTCAAATCCCCACTCTGCTGTGAAGCTCAGTGGGAGACCTACGGCCAGTCATTCTGTCTGTCTGTGTCCCTCTTAGCCTAACCTACCTTGCAGGGTTATTCAGAGCATAAAATGGGGAAGGAAGCGCTGTGGATGCTGCTCTGAGCTTCTTGGAAGCAGGGGGGGATCGAAATGTTCTATATAGATTTCCTGCGGTAACTTATCTTATTTTTATTTATTTATTTATTTTTATTGATTTATTAGTATTTTTACCCCACCCTCCCCGCGAGCGGGCTCCGGGCAGCTTACAAGAGGGCAACAATGCCCACATATAAAACAAAATTAAAACAGCTGAAAACAAAAATAAAATCATCAAATCACAAAAGTAAAAGTTATCTGACGGAAGGGCGTCCGGTGGACCACGGCCTATCCAAAGACCAGCTCTACTTCCTGTTACCTGTTAGCGTCCAGCTCTCTTCCTGGGCTGTAGAGATTAGAGTAGCTAATCAAGGGGCCGAGAGAGTTCAGGTCAAAGCTCTATATAGATTTTGTATGATAACCAGGGGTCATTTCGTAGAAAAAGAGGTGCAGGAGCTCATTAGCATAACTTATTTGCATATGACACACCCCCTGACCTCACCGGAAGTGTGTCAGAAGGCAAAATCCACCGCTCAGGCTCCACTGGACTGTTTCGGATTGCTAGCTATTGTCGGGGGGGACGGGGATGTGAAGATCTGTCCTCGCAGAGGAGGGAGAGCTTGTACCTGAATAAAACCTGGTCTTAAAGGTGCCACTGGATTGTTTTGCACCGGGGGGGGGGAGGGCTCTGCAGTTTACCTGGCTGCTTCTTGCTCTGACTGAGGGCTGCTGGGTGCAGGGGGTGGAGCTTGTTGCATGTGCTCTTTCTGGCCGGAGCTCCGCTCCTGTGCGTTCCTGCAGGAAATGACCTCTGATTATCTTATCTAATGGCGGTGGGCCATGCCCCATCCAAAGATCACATCCACTTCCTGTTAGAAGAAGAAGAAGAAGAAGAAGAAGAAGAAGAAGAAGAAGAAGAAGAAGAAGAAGAAGAAGAAGAAGAAGAAGAAGAAGAAGAGATTGGATGTATACCCCG